AAATATTCAGTCTCTGTGGCACCGCAGTTGCAAACTGTTTCTAAGAAAAACCCACCGCCGCCACGCAGACATCGCAGAGGAGAGAAGAGGAGAGATGCCACATGAAGTCACTGGCATTCAGAAACACTTCAATTTCCATATGGAAATAACAGGAAATAAGATGTGCTGAATTTCAGGCACCAAGGCAACAAAAACACATTAAGATTTAATCACACAAGAACTTGGCTGTAAAATTTGTAATTTTCTTGATCTTTTTAAAGAGTTCTCATTTTTAGGAACATCAGACAGCTAACAGACCATGCATTCCACCAACCAGCTAAAGCAGACATTTGCATTAATCTGCTTTCTGTTAATTAAGCGGTGGAAACGCATCCCCTTCACCAAGAAATCTCTTCTGCAATCAAGTTCCTTGTCAGCCTCTATCTTTGCACAGCCTGTGTCATAGCAGCTATTCTCTAAACGATTTCCAAGGATAAATACTGTGGACTTGGCATGTCTCTGAATCACAGCTCTGCTAAAGCCTTGCTTCTGCATGCTGCATCCATCTCATTTCTTGGTGCACAAGGAAAATGTTAACACTATCTTTTAAGATACTGAGATCAGAAGTACAAAATTGTAATGATGATCTGTGAGAGAGCTGAATTTCAACTTTAAGGAGAAATAAGCTATGGGAATTGAAGCCCTGCCAAAACCAGGAGCATAAAACGCAAAGGCTGCAGAAGGTAGAACAGCTACAAATGAAAACCCTTGGAGTTGCTGATATTTCTCTCCTTTGTAAAACTAAACATCTCGAGTTGAAAGGTGTTTTTCTATATTCTCATTTGCAAACTGGCAGATCCCATCACCGAAATGCTTTTGCTGCCAAATTCCAGCAAGGTGGAGAAAAAAGAAGAGTCATTCAAATACAGTCCATTCAAACCAGATGAAAACTATTATTCACAAGAGCAGCAATTGCTTCCTTGCATTCCATGCAACACAAGAGCTTTTCCCTCACACAGAAGCCCCTGCTTCCCCCTTCCCCCTTCATTCACACATAGGTGGGTGGATCAATGCTGGTAAAAAAGCAGATTTTAAGTCCTGCTAGGAACTGCACTATCAGGACTGCTGGTATCTCCCAATAACACACTTATTCCCCCCCAAAATAACATATGTAAGGTAAAATCCTGCTTTTCATAAGTACTGAGTCTGAAGTGCTTTATTTCTCTACCTGTGCAATTAAGCAATTAGAGCTCGACCACACTCATGGACAGGCTGCAGAGAATTTCACAAACAGGCTTCTGGCAGCATTTTCAAGTGCAGTTAAATGAGCAATGAAAGGATGGTGAAAAAAACAAAAGTCACAACAGAAAAAAAAAATTGCAGGAAGATCCCATCTCTCACTCCTCAATTCCTCCAGAATACCTAGATATTCAGCTTCTGAATCTGCAGCAGCATCTTTGGCTTCAATATTGTTACCTAAGTGTTTGAAGAAAATAAATTCTCCTAATAACAGCTGGTGTGAGACAGAAAGAGTAAATAAATATTAAAAAAAAAAAATCAAGACATTCCCCAGGCAGTGAAAATACCTGCAGAGGCATCTTTGAATCATTTCTTCTGGCTAAATTATTCAAGACTACCTGAATGGCTTAAGAATGATCCGGCATTAGTGGGAAAAAAAGGCAGGATGTGAACCTTCCTGATATGCTTTCTTTTGTTCAAGTGATTTGTAGCATGAACTGTGCAACAAATTCAGGTCTGGTGCCCTGCAAGAAACTTGAAGCTGGAGAACTACTTTGCTGACAATTTCCCAGGTACAGAGAAAGAACGGATAACTCAGAGGAAACGATCGTTTGGGAGATACCAGTAGGAATTAAAAGCTGCAGCTTCAGCAATAGAAGGCTTTGCTTAAAGAGAAGCCACTGCTTCAACATCCCAACATTCCCAGCTGCACGGGCTGTGTGCTCGGAAGCAGCACAGCGAGCTGTGAAGGCGTACACTCGATTCCTGAAAGTTCATAATGAGTAACTCGGTAATGACGAAGGGAAGGACACAGAAACACTTCCTTGGGGGTGGGGAGGACAGAGATAGCATCTGAAGAGCCGTGTTCCTTGATGAACGTGTTGTTTTATTCACTTTTCTTTATTAAGCTTGCTTACAGCCTCACACGAGCAGAGGCGCTGGAAGCGTATTCCAATGTTCAGAGGAATTTTATTATTATTTCAGGATCCTTGGCTCTTTATTCAGGCTAAAAATCAAGCATACGTAGGGTATCAGAGAGAGAAATGCTCAGGGAACTTGAAAGTGCCCCTTGGTGTCACGTTTAAGTTTAGCTCCTACACGTTCAACTCATTCTCTTGGATGAGTGTAAATGGGTGCAAATCTATACCCACTTTTATCCAGCTATCTAAGCTGCTATGAAGCCCAGTACCTTAAAGCAGATACCCCTATTTAAATACCGCAGTCAGAAAGTGGTAATATTTCCACGTTCTTAGCAAAGACTGTTAGATTTAACTCACTGGAGATTGCTATGCACCTGAAGTAAACTTCCAGCATTCTGTACAGCAGATCGTTAAATAAAACGCCTTCAGACTGAAGCCCACTTCCACACCCATGCCACAGAACAAACCATTTTCACCTAGTTAAAGAACAATAGCATTAATGGGCCACGTAAGCAACTTTGGAAAATAGCTGCACAAAGGACACTGCAAATAAATAAACGTGAAACCCAACACCCCACATGCACCAAGCAGAGCAGCTGGAGCGAGTGGAAAGAGACACCTTTACACCTGAACTCCTGGACTTCTTCAGCCACTGCCAATGTTCTTAAATAAACAACTGCGGGAAGCTTCTCTTTTTTCATTCCCAGTTAGAAAACTGTAAAGGGAACTCATTCTTCTGACCATGTTGCTTGATCGATAGGAGTCTGAACCTGAACGAGTGCCAGCGATCAGAAGGAACACCGCTCATCGAAGTGCTGTACTTCGTGCTGAATGCTTATATAATCTGATGATTCTGTGTAAAAACAAAAGCTTACTGCGAATCTGTTCGTTTTTATACCCATACCAGGTCTGCAAAAACTCCAGAATTCCTAGCATTAGCGCAGGAAACAGTTTAATGTGTGTTAAATACCGGAATACTTCATGTGGAATACTGGAATAAGCACCAAAACAATGCCCTTAATACGAGAACTGCCGTCCGAATCACAGCCAGTTTTTCTGTTCGTTTAGCAAAGATTAGTCCTACCTCTACAGGCAGCACAAACATTCACTTAGCTTCACCAGGACCAACGTGAGCAAGAAATGTAGAACACGGGACAGGTTCTGCTACTTAACAGCCCTTTTTAATGAACCGATAGGTAACGTTAACAAGACCACTGTTCTGTGCTCCAAGCAAAAGGAGCCCAATAGAAGGACGTGGAGAGGAGAGGCAGACACGAGGAACAGATGGCACCGCGTCTTCAGGAACTGACACCGGGATGGAAAAGTTTCCCGGCAGAAGATATTCCTGAATTAAGAGGAATGTCGTTATGCGAGTTCCTCAAAGAGAAGGTATTAGGGAAAGATGAAAGACACCTTCTAAGGTAAGACAAAAATCACTGGAAGAAATCGTGTGCTGTTTCGCAATAGAACAAATGGGGTACTCTAATCTGAAGGGAAAAAAAACCCAACAAAAATCAACTCCCATCTCCCCTTAACCTGCTCTGCTATTTCTCTGGTTAAAACAGAAAGGGTTTTTTTAGTTTCTCTCTGGCAGCGATCGCCATTTCACAGCACATTTAGCCCACACGGAATTGATCAATAACACTACAGACACAAGACTAGACTATCCATTTACTAACCACAAGAAAATGTGCTGTTCAGCAAAATCCTGCACATCATAAAGCTGAAATTTTAAAAGGCATCGCTCTACAGATCTCATTACCGCCCTGGAGCAGTCCCACAGAAAGCCTGCCGGCCTTCAGGCTGATCAACAAGTGTGCCTCTGCACTGCACAGAAGAAAGCCAAAAAGTGGATGTAAGCACAGGCAGAGGACTGCACACACATTCAGCACGTGAACAGAAAGGGTCAGGCTTGCCACACGAACCACACACTGAGTGTTACACAGCTCTGCAGGTTTCAGGTGCAGCTGGTGGAGCTGAGAGCAGGGCTGTAGCAGCAGCTCTCCAGCCACTGGTTGCTACATAACCATTTCCCTCCCAACCCAAAGGATGGAGGCTCTCACGCCACGCTTGTCTCTCAGGACTGAGAGCCGCAGCATGAAAGCTGGGTTTCAGGTGCTAAGAAAGTGAAACACTGAACAGCAAAACAAAAAGTGTTACAAATCACTGCTCAGAAATCGAAAGTCTGTCTTTTCAGGCTGTTTCGGTGCACGCATCAGTATGTGCTCACTCGCTATCAGTGCGGGATGAGCTAATGCTTTCACAACAGCGATTATTCCGAACTAATGAAGCATTAACGAAGGTTGCCATCCACCACTGGACGCTCCAGAGCAAGAGCTCTGAATTAAGTTCGGAATATTTCAGCTTGGTAATTACGCTGGAGCAAACACGAGGCCGGGAACTGCCCCGTCAGGTGCCTAAAGGTGGGCACAGCCCCGGGTTGGACCGACACCAGCAGTCTGAGCACTGCAAGCACCTAAAGGTTCATGCATTGGGGATCATAGTGAAAACAGCGATCCTTTAGTGCTGTCCCCAAACGTTTGTCATTTCACAGACTCACAGAATGGCCTGGGTTGAAAAGGACCACGATGACCACATAGTTTGAATCCTCTGCTGTGTGCAGGTCACCAACCAGCAGCCCAGGCTGCCCAGAGCCACATCCAGCCTGGCCTTGAATGCCTGCAGGGATGGGGCATCCACAGCCTCCTTGGGCAACCTGTTCCAATGCCTCACCACCCTGTGTGTGAAAAACTTCCCCCTAATATCCAACCTGAACCTCACTTGAAGAAATGACTTCTACTGCCGATGCAATCACCTCGGCCTTCCAACAGCTGACCCAAAGTAACAAAAACACGCACTCACCTGAAGAACACGAGATGAGAAAAACAGCGAACGCTAACTTCGTAGCAGCTCCCATTTTCCAACGCTGTTAGAACATTTAAGTGACTTTTAGTATCCAGTTTCTTGGTCCTGCAAGCGGGAAAATCCCCCCCCCCTCCCCCCTTCTTGCAGAACCGTTATAAAGCAATCTATAGCAACTTCTCCGGAGACAGTGTTCACCAAACAGTAAAATCGGGCTCGCCTGGAGACCGACCGAGCGAGAATCCGAGCAGCGTTTCAAAACACACGCGTCATTCGGCTTCCGTACAAACTCACGGGATTGAATTCATGAAAGTACGCTACGAATCCAAAGGGAAACGAAGGCAGACGAAGTCAACGGAGGATCCGGCGGGCACGAAGCAACGTGTGAGCGCAGCTCCGCGCAGCTCCCGCCTCCCGTTAAGCAGCGCTGTGCTCCGCGCGGCTCGGCGGCTCCATGGCAGCGCTCCGTCAGTCCGTGCGGCGGCGGGCTGAGCGCTCCGTTCTGACAACGCCGTTTTACGATTCCCTTCTACCACGGTTCCGTGCCACCCCGCCCCGCTCCCTCGAGGCTCAATTGAAAGTAAAAAAAAAAATAATATTAAGAGGAAAAAACAATCGCGAGGCCGGCTTCCCGCGGCAGCTCTAGGGGCTGAGAAGCAGGAGCCTTCCTCCTCTTCCTTCTCCTCCTCCTCCTCCTCCGCCGCTCCCCTCGCGGCGCTGCCCGGCTTGCAGCCCTTAGCGCTCAGCCCGCCTCACGCCCAGCTCTCCCGTCTCCCCGGCGGCGGAGGCAGAGCGGCGGACGCCAACTTTGTCCCTCCACGAGTGCAGTTTAAAGGTTGCCGAAGAGAAAAGGCCGAACCCGCTTTCTGCCCAGAGGCGGTAGTGGTGGTGGTGCTTGGAGCCGTCTCTAATGTATCCCAAGTCCAACCGGCAGCTCGGAACGACCCTCCGTACCCTGCTGCTGCCGCTGCTCCCCTGTGGTAATTTCATATCTACCCATTCACTTGTGTGGCGTGGAGAACGGACCCAAGATGGCGGCGCCCGGGCGATTGTTTTTGTTTCCTCTCCTCCTCCCCCTCCCCCACCTCTCCCCTCCTTTCCCACCGCCACAATCACGGCAGCCCGTCGCGCGACGCCGTGCGAGCGCGCGCCGCCCCGGATTGACGGCCGCGCCGCCCACTCACAGCACGGCTGAGCGCCGCTCGGCCCCGCCCCCTTACCGACCCACCCCGAGCGGGGCGGAGCGCGCTCCCCCCTCCCCTACCTGCCCGCGTGTGCGCGCGCATGGGTGAGGCGGCACGCGAGCGGGCTGCGCGCGCGCACCCCGCCTTCCCGCCTCAGGGTGCGGTCCTCGCGCCGCGCCTTCTCTCTCGGCGTTGCCTCCGAGCCTCGCGGGGCTGTCGCATCCCCTATCTGCGCAGCGAGTCGCCCTTCAGCCCGGTTGTGTTGGCTGGCCGATAGGCGCGAGGGGCTGATTTTGTTTCTTACGAGGAGCTCTGTAAGCGGGTGCGTGGTCAAGGCGTGTCCCGCGGCGTGCCTCGTGCTTGCAGATGCTCTCGCGCCTCAGCGAGAGTCCAAAGAGGTAAATAAACCCCTTCGGTGAGTTACAGCCTTCAGGAGGGCTGTTCTCTTTCACGAGTCTGGTGGGAGTCCCTCCTTTTCTGTATTTCGGTAGCAAGAAGCACCGAGTTCTCAAAAACTGCTTCGCCGGCCGTGTTAACTGACTTGTTTTTAGGCGGTGCTAAACTGGAAGCTGCGTTTGAGCCGTTTGCAACCAAGTCAGGGCTGAGTAATGGCCTCAGGTCGCGCTAGAGGAGGTTCAGGGTGGATATGAGGAGCAATTCCTCCTCCAAAGAGCAGTCGGGCAGTGGCACAGCTGCCGTGGGGTGAGGTCGCCTTCCCTGGGGTGTCCCAGAGCCGTGGATGTGGCACTGAGGGACGTGAGCACGGTGGGATGTTGGACTTGAGGATCGTAGAAGCCTTTTTCACCCTTCTGTGAGTATCACCGCCGAGCTGTGTGAGCTCCCCTAATCCATGCACCAATGGAGCCTTGCAGTTTTAGACCCGCTGTCCTGCCACAAGCACTTGCACTGTATGCATGTCCTATATAAGATATGCAGACCCTACAGACTACTGCTAGAGTCCTTGATTAGAATTCATTTATCCCTGTTTCTTTGTCATATTCAAGCACCAACGCAAAGTTCATCCTCCAATGGCGTTTTTGATTTGAAACGCCCCAAAGTAAAACATCCTGTATGGGATTGTGCCCATCTAAAAGCATCAGGACATGTGGCAACACTTTTTAGGCTATTTTTTTATCCAAGCGTTTCAGGATGATTTACGAGCATTAATTAACGTATTACAACACTCCTACTTAATCTGTAGTTTTTAATATTCTTCAATAGCAGAATATTTAAACGTGACCTGTTCTGCAGGTTGTGTTTTCACTTTGCTCAGCTTCTTCAGAATGCTTGTCGTGTTGCCACATGAGCAGGAAATTGCAGCTAAAAATATTGCTATTGTATGTGTGTTTATATATATATATATATATATATAAAATAGCAGAAATATGTCACCTGTGTAGCATTTGCATGAATTTCATAGTAAGGAAGAAGGTGCCTCGAGATTTCTCAAGTTGCTCAGTATTCTTAAGCATGGGTGGGTTTTTTGCCTGCAGCATCGGTTTGACAGAGTAAAGCCTTGTGGCCGTCCAGTAAATATTACAGAAGCAGTGATCCTCCTTAAAGGGCTGGTCTTGGCAATCGTGTGTTTATCAGGATGAGAGGAATCACAAATGAAGTGTATATTCCTTTATTTTCCCCCAATTTTGCAACCATGGCAAGTGATATGTGTGGATTAGGAAGACTGCTGATGTCTGGGATCAAGGAGCCCACTTATTCTTCGTACCAGTCCAGCAGTATCAGTGTTATTATAGATATCAGTCTATTTTCAACTATAAGCAAACCTTACATCATTTGCAGAGCTACTTAATGTATAGGAAAAGAAACAATTAAGGAAAAGCACAAATATGCTTATTTTCAGTAGATGAACAATAAAAACCAGTTTTATTACATGGATGCAATACCTTCACCTGGGCTCAGTTGTATCTTTAGAGATATAACACATTTGTATCTCTAACTGCATTAGAGATTTGCTCCTGCTTAAATCTGCTTTAAAAAGGAAATTAAGTAGTTAGGTGCAAATATTGTGCAGGCCTTAGCAGAAATTGCTTAGTATTTTGGTGAGGTACTTGATGCAAAATGCCATAAGGGCTCTGTGCTTTCTGTGGGTTCTTGCTTTTACTGTTAGTAAAAGGGTGAGTTTTATCCCAGGTAGACATAGAAATGTCAACACAGATGCTGTCTCTTCTTGTATGTCTTTTTGCTTGCCTTGCTTATGTGGATTTTGGGAGCGTTTCCCTTTTCTACCTTTTCACTTCTGTTTTGCTTTTGCCATAAACTCCAGATCTTTTTTCCCTCCTCTAAGATCAGTCTATGCATTTTTAATGTATCACTTACTGTGACACACGAGCATTGAAGACACAGTATAAGGGCATAGGCATCTACAGAGAGCCTGTAAGCAGCAGCAGGATGAAATGGATGTAATCTTAGTTTTGTTCATGTGGAACAGTGCTTGGTTTAGAGGCAGCACAAACGTAACTTTCCTTTTAGGGAGTAATGGGAATTAAAAAAACAGCATTGTCTCATTTTTTTTATTCAGAGCACTGCTATGATTAGAGGATTTCATCTGTGCCTTTGCTGTTTCCACACTGGATCAATACTGTTTACACAGAAGCAGCATTATAGGTAAGAATCTATTGTGCAAGACTCATTCATAGTCTCTCTGCAAACATTTTTAAAATGTAGAGTAAAAAACATGGGCTTTATAATATCAGCAGTAACAATAATAGATACAACCTTTGTCATTACCTCATTAATCTCCCCTCATGTTCTAAGTAAAGAGAAGAAAAGAGAAACATGTTTCAGACACTGACCTTCAATAACCAAAACGAAAAGTGACCGAAGCAGCAAGAAAGCAGTGTTGTTTGCAGGGATCTCCTCCTTATTAGCCAGCTTAGTTTTCCATGCTGAAGGGAAAGATGCAGATATTGGAGGACTGCCTGGTTTAAACAAATAAATGGGTAAATAGCTACTTCAAAGTTATTCTTAATTTCATATGGGAATACAGTATACGTATCTTAAGAGTTTTAATACAGATTTTCAGTTCTAGTGGGCTGATCAATGAAATCACCATGAATGATTCATTATTTTTTGCAGTTCCAAAACTACTGAGATATTTTATGGTTACTTTGATAATGCAGCTTTGTAACAGAAGAAAATGAGGAATTAAGGAGTTAAGATGCATCAAATCTAAAGCTTTTCTCTGGTTTGCTTTTGGATAGTGTCACTATATATCTGTCCATCAAAAATTATCTCTTACCTTGCTTATAATCAGACTTAAAAATCTTGTGTGTAAGTGTTGAACTCAGCTGATACCCACAAGGACAACATGAAATACATGTTGAAATCATAGCCCCGTTTTGGATATTCAGGTATTTTGGTATTTGGCCAAAGTACACTCATTTTGTTCATGTGAGCAGTACTAATAACTACAAATGAGTAGGATTTGGCCTGTTTCTTGTTACGTAAAACTATTTATATGGTGAGTTTGTGTGTGTGACTAATTCCTTTTTGAATGTAATCAGATGCAGCCTGTGGACCTACACATAGATGAATGTTTCCCAGCTTCTGGTTTAAAAGCAAACACAGATAGAAAATTTTATGTAAATTAACACTTAAATACAATCTCCAACGAATCGTTTGCTTTAAAGGCTACATTTATACCAATGATAATTTGTCTTTTTAGGTCTGGTACCCAGGCTTTTATTTCCTTAGAGTACTTCTGTGGAGGTTCAAAAATACCTCATGTATTTTCTTGGAAGACCAGGTGATTCCTTTCTAGGATTTGCATTGGCTTGTCAGAAAAGATCGTCTGAACAGGGCTGCTTGTTGCTTTCACTGCATTGTCTGTTGGAGTCAGCTTGTTGCATTATTGGTTTTTAATACTACGGTTTATCTTGTGTGATTTCACACTCATTTCTTAGCAATTTATTCAAATTATCAAGAGTTCAAGATGAACTCTTGAAACCCTGATCTGTATTGTGAGAACAAGGTTCCTCAGGTCTGTGTTGAAACTTTCCTTCTCAGAATACGGTACCATAATATGGATGCCTTTAGGTAGCAAAAAAAATAATAAAAATCTCTGTTCATCATAGAAATCAGAAATGTTACAATATTGTAATATTTTCACTATTCTTTTGGATGAATTCTTGAAGTGTGTTTCTGTTGCTGCTGTTTCCCAACAGTGGTGTTTGATTTTTAAGAGTATATTTCTCGTACGTACCTATAAGGCTTTTATGTATAGATATAGATGTGTATTAATAATTGCATATTTTAGACTGGTAGTTTGTAATTAATTGGAAACATTAAGCAGAGCCTATAAGGCCTAGAAGTGACCTTGTTATAGAGAAGGAAGGCTAGCAGCTGCAGGCCGTTTTGAGAGGGATCAAATGATGGCTGGACAGGTTAGGTTGGGAAGAACACAGTAAGGAAGTAAGGGTGCTTCCTCAGAGAGTCACAGTGTGAGAGTCTGCTGGGTGTGCTTGTTGTGTTCTCATTAGTCATGGTGGAGTTTGATACAAATGGCTTGGGAGTCAGTTTGGTCCTTGCTGTTGGAATATACTTGAGAACGTTATGTATTTTGCCATCTACTGCAGCAGTTTGTAACTCTCCTCTGTTAGGCCCCTGCGTGAGGCCATGGGAAGGCCATTTATATGCTTCAACTATTCCTGTGTTCTGGAATGGCATTTGTGGATGATTAGCTGTGTTAAACTATAGCAGATCTTTAGTTACATTCATGCTGTACGTCCACAAACACTTTAAGCCAGCATAAGTCAGAAGATGCTTCCCTGCTCTACACCAATGTTCTTGCAGCTGCACACTTGACTGATTGGGGAGCTGATTTGGTTCAGAACTAACCCAGCAAACAAACCAAACCAGAACATTAGCTTTAAGCTAGTTCTGAACTCAGTTCATTCCTAGCCTCACAAATATTTATGTTGGCTTGAAAGTCCTCACCTCCATGGTGCTGAGACCAGAACAAGCTTGTGAAGAAAACCAGGAGCCACTTTTTTGATGCAAGGGCTGGTTAAATTGTGGCTCAAGTTGTGGCTCCTTGCAAAATGAGCCAGACATTCTAAGGGAGGCCTAACAGACATCTTTTTACATCCAGACTCCCCAGGTCTGGCACTTCTTGGATAGAGCCCAAGGTTTGTGGCCTTGGTCTAATTCTGTCTATCATTACCTGCCTTTCTGTTACCATTTTTCTCTCAAGAGATCCAGCTTTGAGTCTCATGTTCTGTGATCCAAACTGTCTAACCAAAACACATTTTCTCACCCACTGAAATATTTTTTCCACTCTCTTTTGAACTGTCACAGCTGATACTTTCTATATTGAATAATTACATTTCTTATTTGTGCAACAGAAAAATTGCAGAGACGTACGTGACTTAGATGAATGATGCTGTTGGTATTACAAACTGATTGTTTAAGTAGCTCATTTCTTTTCTTGCAAATGGTCCTAGGCCTGCAGTATAATTTATGCGTTTCATGAGTGTTTTTATCTTTGTATTCTAAAGAATTACATATTCAAAGTTTCATTCATCCCAAATTATGTAGTAGAAAACACATCCACGTCTCACTCAGCGCATTGCTGGACATGAGGCATGAGGATAAAATTATGGATCGTGGTTAGCTGCATCGACTGCTTTATTTAGTCTTACAAGTCCTACATGGTACTTATGAATACTTCTGTTATGCTTGGAATTTCTGAAACAATTATAGCTCAATAAAAGTTAAATTCAAATGCAAATACTAGCTATGTTATTTTTTTACCATCTTGCCACTATAAGCTTGCCAAATTTAGTGCATTATGTGCAAGAGTTATTCATATAAGTCCCAATCTGTATTTGCCTGCTTGGCACTTTTATCTAATCACTGCGAGCCACAGCTGCTGCTTTTCTCTGACCCCAGATACTTGAAGCAAGGGCTGGAATGAGGCAGTGATGCTGCACGGCTGTTTGGTGTAGGTATAAAAGATGGTCCTTTGCTCAGTAGAGCTCCTTTGGGATGCCTTTTCTCCCCGGCTGCATTCTCAGCGGTGGCTCTGTGAGGTGACCCAACAATCACTAATAGGCTTTTTTTTTGTATTTGCACAGGCAGCAGCCCTGTTAAAGGCAGTGTTTGGACATGGGTAGGGAGGAGCTGCACTGCACAGCTGATTGGTGGGTTTGTTTCACAGCTAACCTATACATCTGGTCAAAAATCAATACATTATTCTGAGTTGCATTGAACACGTGTCTGGAAGTGCAATAAAAACCTCCAAAATCATCAATTCCTTCAGCTGATGTTGAGGAATCGACTTCTACGGTCTGTAAAGCAGAACTCAGGAATGTAGCTTGCAACTGGAACTTTAGAAGGTGTGGAAAACATTGAGGACTAATTATAGAGGTCGATTGCAGATTATGTTAAAACTGTAACTTTCCTCCTCTTCTTAAAAGTAACTGGGACACTGCATTATAAAAATAGCCTTAAAAAATTCCATAGTGGAATGGGTGTTAGTAAGCTCTTAACATATGCTTTGGGTTACTGCTGTTTGTGTGTCAGCCCCTGATTTATTTCTAATTCCAATTTATCTTTGAGCAACCAACCCACTTTGGAATTTTCTTAGAAGTTGTTTCATTGTAATGCAGTAGAAGGTGGAAAATAATGGAAACATTTTACCTTGGAAATAATTGAAAGGGAATGATGTGTTGTATGAGTTGTATTAATTTCCAATTCATTCTGATTATTCTGGAGTTTTTCTAGAGCTCAATAGCTGCTTTCAGTTATAAAAGCAATGAAAAAAATCTTTGTCTAAGTGTCAGGTGTTCGTTCCATTAGAAAAAACAAACTGACTAAAAAGGTTTTGTAAAATTATTTGGAGTGCAGCTGATGAAAGGAGAGCAGTGGACATTGAAATGATATGGATTAGTATTAGAACCTCTTCTTTCTTTGCCCTTTTCTCTTTTTTGTCTCTTCATATTATTAGCATCAACATTTTCCAATCCTCCAAGTATAACTGGGATCTTTAAGTAAGAAGACAGCAAAACCAATGACCAGTCCAGCTAAACAGCTAAATCACAGCATTGAACTCTTTGATCTGAATCAATTTAAAAAACCAAACTCCTTGCTCTCCTATTAAGCTGCACAGTGAAGTGCTTTGCACTGACCTTGTTAAATTAGCACACCTGAAAGGTCAGTGATTTTCAGCAGGGAGGAGTGTGCACCACTGCTGCTGATATGGGGAGCAGAACCTGTTAGGCTGGCCCTTCCAGCAGGGGTACTGTGAGCCTCCCCTATGAGAGTCCCTTTAGCTAGAGAGGGGAGAAACAAATGCTTTTTGTTGAATTAGCTCGTGCTGTTTCATTTGCAAGATGTAAAAAGGTAGAGGAAGAGATTAGTTTTCCAAAGGATACTGAGTCGAGGAAGCATTGTTAGAGAGGTGAGTGACTTTCTGCTTTAATATCATATGTGAAAATGCACGTTGCAAACAGACACTTCTGCAATATAAACAAGGGGCGAATGGGAATTGAAAGGAACCAGAGAAACACTAATTACTGCAGGGAAGGCAGGAAAGTTTAGTGGGAAATTGATATCAAAATTCTGATTTTTCCTTTTTCCATTTGTGTGGGAACAGCTGAATCACGGCCTGAACCTCTGATTGACCACCTGGGGAGAGCTGAGTCAGCCCTGGGAGCACAGGTGAAGGCAATTCACCCTGCTGCTGGAAGGGGTGGAGCCTGGCTGCTCCTCTCCTGAACCCATTTCAGAGCTGGCTGGCAGTGGGGAAGGATCTCTTCTGGAGATCCCTCCTTTGGAGTTTTACAGCAAGCCCAGGACAAGGGTAGGCACTCGATCTATTCTTTTTTGGTGTAATAACCTGCCTTGCCAAACTCTCTTATATTCCGTAATTATTACGTCTGTATGTTCATTGACTATACACCATTCAAAGGAAATTTCTTAAAAATATAAAAAAAAATAAAAATCAAACCAGCCACCCAAGCAATCAGTCCAGCTGGTTTACATTCTTTTCTAGTGTAAAAATTTTCAAAAGTGTGGAAATCCAACCAGCTCCAGTTTAGAGTGTCTTTAAAGCATAAGGGATGGTTATTAAGTTAAAATTAAAGGTGGTTTTTTTTTTTTTTTTTAATTTTTTTTATTTGTAACTCATTTGAAGCACTGTGAGACAGAACCTGGAGGCTGAGTTAGTTGGTGATGTAGTTTTTAACTACTAGAAGCTGTGCTTTAGTAAGAAGTTGCTACAGCCTTTATGTTCTGCTGAATGAATGCTTTTAGCAGCCTTCTTCGTGGTTTCTTAGCAGCATTCAAGCAATACTTGGAAGCAATACATGAAATGAAATACTGATTCTGGTTTTTGTTACTTAGGGATATTGCTGAGCTGTAACAAGTGCTGTTAAGTACACAGGAGTTACTCTTTCTCTCTGTGCTCTGTTACCTATGGGATACTGTACTTTTTTTGGTGCTCTGTTTTTTTTTCCCCAGGATGTTTCTCTATGTCGCCTGTCTCTTGTAGTGTGGCACTGCTTACTGTCGATCTGCTTTGCTTTAACATCTCTTACTGTGTTTTTCATCTTGGTAGATGCTTAGGAATTAATATCTCATAATGATCTGAAGTTTGCTACTTTAAACACAGAATTTTTAAACAGGGGACTTGGCAATAGATGCACTGTAGCTGTTCTTAACGTTTAATTAATGCTATCTTATGAATGCATATTTTTTCTTAGCTTATACTGTTTTGAAACATTGCTTGATATCTAGAATGAAAAAAGTGTGCACACTCACTAAGTGATGCATATTGTTGTGTCTGTGAACTCTGTACATCTGTAATGTTAAATTTGCCAAAGTTAATATGTTGAAAAGTAACAAGTTACTTAAGTTAGTTAAATGCCTCTTCCTTGAGGAAAATTACCATAATGGTTACTTTTACTAAAATGCAATTACTGTCATTGTAACAATCAATCACATTTTCTTGTAGAAAGAACTTTCCTCAGTTCTGAATGCATTAAAGTGTAAGATTGCTCTGCTCAGTGCTAAAATGAGCTGCAGAGGCAATGTGCTTTTGGGGACAATCGAGTGGAAATTCCAGTCATGTGATTGTCTTCAAGGTTTTTAAAGCTCAGTGCCCTGTAAGACATTAGAAGTTCTGAAAAGATGGACAAATAATTGATAAATGTCTTGTTTCTGTTGAGCATGGCTGAGTTTTTTTTCCCCTCACATTTGCTTTCCCTCACCTTTCCTTCCCCATTCTGTCCTTGCAGTGTCTTTGTGCTCCTGACTCCTGCACCTCTCCCATTAACTCCACTGTTACCAAACTAAAGTAAGAATTCCAGGGGGAAGAGGTGGATAAAATTTTCTGCAAAAAGCAGGGATGAGATTGAAGAAACTGAATTTTCCACCAGCTTGACTCTCAGGCTGGCTTATAAGAGATGAATAAAGAAGTAACTGCTGCTGCTTGATCTCTCATGCCATGCATAGATGTAAGACAGGCCTTCAGCAAGAGCAGGCTGAGATGTTAAAAGGTCCATTGGAAATGCTGGAGTTGCATTGATTTGCTTGCAGTTCTGCTGCTGTGTGCTGCTTCCTCAGTCTTGTTAGCTTTCACTGGGGCATATGAGGAACAGTGATAGAGAGAATGGTGTCAGTACTGCTCACTGCATATGTATAACATATACATATGTACGTGTTCTGGTGGCACTCGTGCCACTCATCTCCAAAGACACCAAAATCACCTTTAATAGCAGTGTATACAAGTGTGATGTAGAATGGAAGGTGACAGTGCACACAGTGGTCCTTAGAAGATAGAGATGTGGTTCTGTAATGGGGTTTGGTAGCTGTGTCCTTCATGGCACTGGAAAAAGAGAGCTGGATTGCAGTCTTGCTTTGCTGTGTGTTCAGTTTTGCTATGATGTTAGCTTGAAAATAAAAAAAGACTTTGAAAATCCTAGATGGAAGTCACTAAATATGGAGTAGTTGTATTGGCAAATCAAGTGCTGGCACTTGGAAACCAATTTTCATTTTTTAGGTATTTTTTTTCCTTGTATCTTTGTAGAAACCATTACACACAACATTTGCTGTTGCTGTGTAAATGAGTTTGTGTTGTATAGTGAAGAATATGGCACAGAAATGGGCACTGTTGTCTGGTCGGTCTGCAAAGCAGGTATGTACTTAAATTCCCACTGAATCTAAATTGTGGTGTTTAGCTTGAGATGTGCTATGAGGAGCATCACTTTTTCCCCCAGGCAGTATTGATTACTGCCTTGTGTAAATTACACCCAACTTGAGGAACAATTAATAATCTCTATTGTAATTAAATTTGACCTACACTAGAAATCTGTGATTTGTTCTAAGGTGGTAGACCTAAAAGGATTTTAATTACTTTATTATCCTTTTAATGTCTTCATGTAGATGCAAAAATACCATAATTGAAAACCAACTGCTAAAATATGCACTGTGAATGTTTACACACTTTGTGATTCATGTTAATAGGTGACCCTACTGTGGTAAATGTGTGCATTATGCTGAATGTATCCATTTCGTGCTTCCCTTTATTTTCTTGATTTTGGATTAAGTTTATTTTGCATGAAATGTGACACAGATTTCAGTAAATGTATACTTCTGCTACTAATATGCATATCTAGGTCATTTATTGCTTAAAATACAAATGCTGTTTTCATTTTGCTGTTTGCAATTAGGTAAGTAATTACTACAAGACTACTTTCAATACTGATTTCAGCATGAGCTTTTCCAGCTCTGTCCCATACAAGAGATGGATAATAGCACCTGATTTAACTTGCAATGTTTTCTTGAAAGTGTTTTTGATTTGAAAACAACATTCTGCCTGATACTGTAGGGGCCTTAGGTAGGTTTCAGGGAGATCATTTGGCCAAATAACACCTTTTTGCCAAACTTACCAGGTACTGGAGCTCTTACTGACTCAGTATTATGGATGATAAGGTAATATGAAGTTCTGTGAAATTTGATTCAAAGTCAAGCTTGACTGATCTGAGATTTGTTCTCAGATGTTCTCAGTACAGCTTGTAAGATTAACCCAAAAGGTGCAGAAGTGAAAACTGAGGAGGAATTTGGAGATGTTGGTGTAGAATGTGAGAGAATCTCAGATTGACACGGAATGGCTGAGGTTGGAAAAGGGGCTCAGGAGGTTCTCATCACATGGGGCTGGAGCAGGCATCTGCAGCTGCATTGCTCAGGAAATAGCAGAAAGAAGAGTTTAAATTTTATTTAAACGATGATGAGAAGAGATGCATGTATTTACTGTTCATATAGAGCAGTTGTGATCTTTCACTTCAGTGAATGCATTGAGCGTGTGCAAACTGGGTTTGGTGATCTGATTGCAGCCAATCAAATTAATAAAGCAGCAATTTTTTAAAGCCATTCTTAAATCAGAGGCTGAAAGTGAAGAACTTCTCAAGGCTGACTGAGCAAGCTGTTCTCCCTTTGGTGTAAGTTGTCATATAAATGGCAAAGCGAGTTACAAAAAGTGAATAGCAGGCATTAGAAATTCTTTGCCTGCCAAGAAAGGCCTGTTACATATACTCTCGTTACTCTTCTCTGTGTGCTCTTGTTTATCAAATTATTCTCTGCTTTGAATATGTATATGTATTTTTTTTGCAGTTCCATTAATCTTTTCTGGATTAGTATATAACATTCTGGGGTAATTACCTATTAATAACTTTCGACGACTTGTCCTATTAGTATCACCTTTTAATTGCTTCGATCTTGCAATATATTCCTAGAATAGGCCATTATTTCAGTGATATAATCATAGAAATAATTGTATTGTACTTATGTTAGAGAAATGGAGATCTGAGAGGAATGATGTTCTAATTAGAATTCAGGAGACTGGTTGGCACGCAGTTGATTTTGTTGGCTCCCAGCCTAATCTCGTTACATTGTTTTTAACTATGAAGAGAGTGGGTTTAAAGATCCCCAGCCCTGCAAATGAGATGAGGGAGTTGTAAAGAGCTTAAAGAATCAGAAAAGTGTAACTCCTTCAAAACAAATCGCGCAATAAATGTGATATTTCAAACTTGTGCCCAAATAATCTTGAACACGATGTGAACGTTTAAAAAATGTAATTCAAATATTCAGTATGGTTAGCTGGGAAGTGTCAGTGTCTCATTGTACTGGTTGTAGTACTACTCTAATTGTAAACTAACTTGAGTTTAAGTAGTGTGTGGGTGTAAAACAATATGGTGCAGTTTTCATTTTAGAACTGTAATAGTATTTTAAGTACTAAGGAATCAGTAAATATTTACAAATAGATGTCATATTCACGTTAAGTCTGTGGCTCTTCTGTGTGAGGCTGTTTATAGCATTAGCTTCCATGTGTTCCAAGACATTTATTTCAAACTCTTCTGGTGTGGTTAACTACTGACACAGGTGGGTTGTTTTTAGTGGCAAGAAACAACTTACATAACAACTTTTCCTTCCATGACCATTTGACCATACCTGCATTACTCAGATTTAATTGCATTATCTGCCTAAATGCAACTGCTGCATACATCTGATAAAACTAAACGCAAGTACGTAAAATTCCATCAATTTTAACATATTCTATTACAGGTTCTTGCAAAGGGAACCTAATGTGCTGTGTTCACTCATGTTGCAGTCTTTCATGTAGACAAAGAAAATAATTTGTCTTTCATTGAAGGAATCAGCAAATGCAGTTGATTGCCTTGGTGGTGGCTGCCTGACTGCCTCACTGTGAGCTCTTTGGCCTTTTACTGTAGGGCTTCCAAGTTATTTAGGCACTCCCACATGTTGGTGCAACATCACGTTCTCTCAGAATTGTTTCATTTTCTT